TTTCGCTTCATGTAGTCCCTTCTTTAGGCATCTCCATTGGTTTGTACACAAAAACCACCCTGGCAGCTCCTCACGTACCATCCGCAGGCAGCTTTCACATATGATTACACTGGTCATCTATAAATCTCAGAATTTTAGAGGGAGATTTTCAAAGGCTTGAACAGCATTTGAGGCTCTGGTTTCCTCAGATCTGAGGAAACTGAGGCCCCTATACCTCTCAAAAGCAGCATTTGTTACTTGCAGTAACAGCACCTTAAGAAGAGACAGCAGGGAGATGGTGTCTCAAGAGCCATGATTCACATTACCATTGTCCGTTTTGGCTTCTGCAAATGTGGAAATTATTTCTTCCTACCCGTTACTTTGCAGGGTGTTTGCCTGCTAAGGAGTCTTTGTTGCTTTGCTCAGTGAAATGAGGGATTACAACAATAAAATGGCACCTTAGGCTTGACTGGATATCGGAATAAGTAATAGAAGAGCTTTCCTCTATCCCTGTCCCACCTGGACCTTGCTCCTGTGTTTAACACTGAACATCAGCCCTTCTTTCAGAATATACCCAAAGCAAACGGCTGTGAGGCAGAAAAAGGCTACAACAAAGGCAGTAAACTGAACCCACAGGCAATAGTAATTATTGCCCTTCCAAGAAGAAGTAAGAGAAAAGTCACAGCTGCTCCAGGAGCTGCCCCTGGTATGGCATACTTCTACACAGCGCCTCTCATCTCATCAGGCTGATGCAGAGATTTCACGGTAAATTCTTAGGCTTTGCTAATCAGATAAGCCTGTCCAGGCACATAGTGCCGTGCTTACAACCTCCATCTGCAAGAAAAAAACATCCTGTCTTCTTGTGAAGGCTGATAAGCTGTGGATTGCTATTCTATTTGTTTGGGATTCATCTCGCATCAAAACCTGTGTTGATTCTCTGTTGATTGTAAGTTCAAGTACTTTGTTGCAAAAGCTAATCCTGCAAGCAGACAGTTGGAGTCCTATGCACATTCTTTTGGGGGGGTATGGGACAGATTAATTAAGAAAGCAGATTAAATTTGTCAAGTTTATTTGCTCTTCTCCTTTCTGTAAATAGGAGTGAACTTTGGCAGGGTTAGTTTTCTTGTTTCATTCCACTAGAGGTAACAAAATGTAATTTTCTTTAACAAGGGCAAATCAGAAGGAACTTATCCTCTGCTCTTGAGGCTGAGGTAGGAACAATGCTGCCTCATTCAAGCGGCTACCAGTCATTATGAAATGCATGAATAAGCAGTGACAATTAATTCAGTGAGGCTGGATGAAAATATTTTTTGGGTGATAGTGTAATGTAAATCATTGTTTTACACATTCCCTTTGAATGATTTAATTCATGCCTTTCTGGCCCCCGCTGTGTTATGATTCATAGATTAGTGCTCATGTGTGTAATTTAACAGAGCTGAATAACAAGCAGCAAGGAGACTTAAACAAATCCTCACATCCGATGTTTTTACAATAAATTAGTAAAACATTATTAGTACCATGTGGAATGATTACACTGCTGCAATTTCTACATAGGTACCTGTCAGGAAAAGAAGAAAAATACACGGAACATTGCATAATGAGCAGTAAAACAAATGTAGAAATCCAAAGCGATGGCAGGCGTATAATACACATCCTGTACCATACCTGTATTCCAATAGATAAGCATCTGTTTTTCTTGAAGTGGTCCTTCTTTCTATCTTCTACTGCAACGGTGGCAATGGTTGTGGTGGTGGTGACGGTGGCGGTATTGTTCCCTACATGTTGACTTGCAGGGCCATGGATCTGCGCATTGGCAGCTTCAATAGCAGCTGTTAGCGCCTTCATACTGTCCAAGCTCTCCGTGGAGTTGCTAAGTCCAGACTGACTGATGATATCTCCCCTCTGTCCATGCCCATCCATATATGCATCTTGGGCAGACTCTGTGCTGCTCTGGGCTGTGATGGAAATAAATGGTTTGGTGGTAGTTCTTGGTGGGACTGGAGGCGGTGTCTTCTTATAGGTGGTAATGCAGGATGACACTGGAAAAAACATATGAGAGTTCTTGATTTATTGGCGCTGCAGGGAAAATGGATGCAAATATGATCTCAAAGCATCAGTGAGCACAGACAGAGCAGACGTAAGGAGGACACTGTTAGCCAAAGAGCCCCCAAAATCTCCAATGTAAGTGCCATGGAAATACCTCGCTTATCAGTGCCCTCTGTTCCTACTGATGTGAGTGGCAGAATTGCCAGTAGAGGGAAAGAAATTATCTATTTGCCATGTTCCTCCTTAGCCTTTTTATGATTGTTTTCTCCAGTATATTTTCTACTAACTGTTCTAAGTCCCATGAGAACAAGTCCTTCCACCAAAATGTGTGTTCTGCTCATGGCTTCCAAACAAGATTCACAAGGGTGATGAGTCTCCAACCACTTATCCTAGCTAAATTGTACTTCATGTGGTTTTATTGCAATTGTTTTCCGTCTCTCTACCCTGTCCTACTGTATTTACCAAGCTTACGTAGAATTTTAAACTACATTTTTCTGATCAGAGCGAGATCCCAAAATGATCCTAGGTCAAAGTCTGTTAATACTCACCATGCTTGGACTTGTGTATTTCTTACTATAAAACGTCTCACTTGTTGCACAGACTTCTCAAATACTTTTAAATGCTTTGCAAGCTGCTAAGGATGTATTTAAAACAACATTTTGCCACGCCTAAATTTGTCATCATAAATATAACATATCAGTTCTGGAAAAAAAATGCTTAATTTTACACACAGGGAGTGAGCGTAATGAAGTCAATGGCTAAAGCCTGTCAGTCAGTGGGACTACTTAAAGGAAAGTGTAAGTATAAATGTTTGCAACAACAGAGGCTTTAATAAAAGTTCATGAGGACTCCTGAAGCATGAAGGCCATGCTCTCTTTGTAAGTGCTTCAATATGGATTTAGAAGATTAGCTTGAGGTTCCCAGGTTAAAAACTATTGGCCTGTGTTTACAGAATTACATGCAGAAAGCACTACATGGAGATAAAAATGTCTTCCTTTAAGGGATAGCTGGCAGCTCTGCATTACTGAAGCCCTGGAATGCTTTCAAATGAGGAAATAAAGTCCATTAAGAACAAAAAACGATCATGATATGCTCTATTTTTTTAAGAAAATAAATGCAGGCATGAACCTGTGCAAAGTTCAGACACAAACATGTTAACATAAATTCTTATTAACAGTAATCATATGGCAAGAAATGATTCATCAGGTCATTTTAATTGGCAGACATCTATGCCACCCACATAAAAGGTAACTCTGCTACAGCTGTTCTACTCTCTGTTTGCGCTGTATGTGCTTGTCGAGCCAGAAGCCATTATGGTATTAATTTGACTAGCTCAGATCCATATGCCTCATATCTCCCGATAGCTGTAGGAATAGTTATAGCGTAAAAGGTGTTTCCAGGGCATGAAATCACAGGGGATTTTTTTTAAGGACTCTAGTACAAGTTTCTGATAACATGTCTGAACCCATGTTAAACATGTTGAATGCTAATGGAAAAAGAGTGTTTCACTAAGGTAGTGAGGGTTTTGAATCTATGATTCACTTCTGAAGAATCAAACAGAAACCACAGCATCTTTGAGAGAAGAGATGGCTAAAAATGACCTTGTCAAATTTTAACTCCGGGAAAGTGAATAGTTGATAGGGGTTAAAGGTATTTTTTAAAGTGCTTATGTCAGATATGACACGACCAATATCTGGAACTAAGAGAAAGGATGACAATTTTACAAAGGGGATTGTGAATTTTGTGCTGTTCTTCATTGCTTTTGATGCTGCCAAAAAACATTTGTTGCTACTGTGCACGTTCAGGTAAATCAGCTGCTGCAGCAACAGCACAAACATTTACTCCGGGACTTATGGAGAATTGTGGAGGCTGCTGCTTGGGTGATGGTATCCCAGAAATGACACAGGTGGTTCGTGGTCTGGAGAATGTTCTCCGAGTGGTGGAAACGCAAACTGAAATACACCACTAAGAATTCAAAGCACATACACAGGCGTATATCCAGGTAACGCTTTGGGAAGCCGGTGCCAAACTTGTCTAACAGAGGTTTATGTGCAATGCTACTTTGCAATTCATCAAAGTATAAATTGCCCCATTTAAAATATGCTAGGCAGGGTCATTGTGGAACTCCTAGGGAGATGCCAGCACCTTCAGGACGTCCCAGCAAGGCACGTAAGTATCATTTTTCCTACATAGCAGATAGGGAAATGATAATGAAACACACTTGAAAAGTGCTCTTAGGTAGGAGAGAGAGCTTCAGAAATAAAAACCAGAAAATAAAAGCAGAAAATAAAAGCAAGCCTTAACAAGACTGGTCCCCACATCACTGGTCATCTCCCCCTAGAAAGAGAGTCAATAGCAACCGTCTATCGAGAGCTACCAGGCACTCTGGACACAGCAGTACAAATACAGAAACGCTTGATTAAGATGTCTTTCATTCTGTTGGTAAATGTACTCAATGAGGACTCTAATCCACACTGCAATGAAAGATGTTTGCACTCAGCTAATTAAATCTGAAGTTATTCTTAAGAGGGGGAGAGAATTGACAAGTCATATGGTGAAATTGTAAAGAGAAACAGCAAACGTTCTTTTAGCAAGTCAAAACAAATCCTCAGTTTCCTGGAGTCACGCAGCACATACTGTACAGCTCCGGAGAAGCGGAGTGTGCAAGTCATAAAAGAACCCCAAGCACTTCATTACTGGAAATGATGTAAGCTCCCGCCGCTCCTCTGCAGAAACGACAACAAAACAATGCTCGGGCCGCCGCCGCCGTCGGAGGCAGCTGCGCTCTAAATGTCATAGCTGGCTGAGCCCTCCAAACGGCTGAAGCACAACAACGAAAGGGATTCGGCACATCAGTTTTTCTCCGGGCACTTTCAAGAACCTGGCAACTTGCGACATGGCAACCTGAAGGATCTGCTGGCTTTTCAAGTGGCTACAGTATTTTAAATGCTAAGCTGCTTGAAAAACGAAACGAGTGCTCCCCAAGAAAAATGACGAAACCCTGGCACTCTCCTTGTGCAGCCAAGAGAGCCCAAGCGTTCAGTCGGTGCGGGAAGAGCACATCACGTTGCTTTCTGTCCCCACGGGCAAGGGGGAAGCTCATCCATCCAGCTCTCCCACAGCAGAGCTGGGCTGCCCGGCAGGAGGACTCTGAGGGAGAAGATTACAGGATCATGGGATGCGTGAAAAAGATGGAGAAATCCTCACTTCACACACAGGGGACTTTCAAAGGGTTTTGCACAGGAAAGTTAGTTTAATTCACATCAGGAAGTGAATCTAAAGGACTGTATAAAATCCCTGATAAATACGTTCTTGGACGTGGATCAAGGAGCGAAGTTCTGTACAGAAACTGATCTGACTGGAGGGTCAAGTCAAAGTAGTCTCGTTTTTCATTAAAATTGTTTAGACATGGAGTTAATCGGAAATACTGTTTTCTGAATAGCGAACGTGTATATGAACCCTCAGTTTGTCACAATATAGAGAAGCTTTTCATATTATTTTCCAGAGCACACATGCTGCTGGAGCAGGTATACATTCCTCTCCTAGGGCATATGCAAGGTTTAATCCAGAAACTAGTTAAGTCATGTGCAAGAATCCTCTGACTCCCAAAGCTCCTTGAATCCGGCCCACCGTTTCCAGCTCTATCAATCCACTAAGCAATGCCCTTCTTTTCATTTTGATCTTTATCCTATTTCTGTGGCCTGCCTTCGGGTTACAGTTTAATCCCAAATACCTAGTGAAAAAGCACTTTCTCTGGATTAAAAAAAAAAGTCCTGGTGTTTGTCCTCCTAGCCAGTATTTCCAAACAACTAGCTCATGGGACAGGAATTTGGAACAGGGAGTGTCAACCACCCAGTTCAGAAGGAAGTCTAATGATAAAAAAAATAATCCCAGATTGCATAATAATAAAGGCTTGAATTTGAATGTTTCATTGTAAAAGCACTTCAGTTGTTTAAACATGCTCACTAGGGAGATGAGCCCTCAGGAACAAACATCAGCACGCAAACACAGATTTTTAGCTCAGTGAATGGGTGCTCAGGAGAACCCCAAGGCAAATTAATATTTGTGAAGAGATCAAATTCATGCAGTACTTTGAACAGTTCATGTGATGAGATATGTAAGCAATATCTTTCTAATTTGGCAGTCTCATATAAGCTTGGTTAACAAATACAAGCATAAATGAAAGTGCAAATTTAAAGTTAATTAAAGTGTTTCTCTTGAGAAAAAGGACTAATTCCACAGTTTGAAAAGAGCAGCAAAGGACACAACTTGTGCACCACTAAGTATTAAGGTACAAGGCAGGAGTTCGTCTATCCCACACAGATGGACCTCAGTCTTCTGATTTACTGTCTGTTAAACAGGCATGTTAACAGCAGCGCCCTTGCATCTCACGCAACTGCAACAGAAAACAAGCAGGCCTGAGCCTCACAACTGCAGACCCCGAGCTCCCCACACAAAGGTGTAGTGCTTGATTTGGCTTGTTAGACTCAAACAGAGCAGTTATTCTCTTTACTATGCACTTATTTCCTTGCTCTGTTGACATTTGGGGGGAACGCTTGGAAATGGGGTTTCAGATCTCGTATTGTTATTTTTACATGCAAAAAAACTGGTACGAAAACAGAACATGCGTTTTCTTAATAAAAAACTATTTTCATATAGCAGATGGCTTCTGAGGATGCAGAGATTTACTATTAAAAAACTGAAATAAAGATTTTCCTAAGAAGTTCTAAACTGCCCAAGGGAATAATACCAGAGTGAGTTATGGATGTCATTATCCCAAATGAGAACTACTGAAATCTCTGTACCACACTGCCTTCACGGTTCTGCCAAGGCCATGCTTTTTCCGTACCTCCACCACCGCGAAGCCAGATATCTTATCCGACAAAAGCCTAAGCTACACTGGATTTGGAAACAGGCATGACTGATAACTAAAATCCTGCAGAAATCTATACAAAGTATCTAAACTATCTTTACTGCACACAATAGCACCACA